ACTTGCTTGTCAGCAGTTGAATAATCTGTAAAGAATATGAAATGAGCTCTAATTTAGCATGTGAGAACTGCATTGACTAGATATTGTAGCTTGATAACTAAAAGGTTGGGTCATGGTGAATTATAAACCTAGTTGAAGATTAAAAAAAATTAATGTTATCAAAATCATAATTTATTTTTATCTGCTCATGGAAATAAAAAATAATGAGTGTTTATTATCTAGCGGCAAGGTATATAACACTAGTTAGGTGTTATATTCCTTTAAAAGTGCTGTCGTTGAAAAATATAGCATGATATCAGTTTTGATTCATTTGAAAGTTAAATGTAGCATCACAATTGTATTTTATTTGTGATTTTTAGCCTTTTTGTCGCCTTTATTATCTTGACTAAAAGATCTAGGCTGAAAATTAGTTCAAATGGGCAGAAATTTCGATTATAATAATTTTCCTGCGGGAAATTGTCTCTGTTAAATTGTGTACATGGTCTCGAAACCCTTAAGTATCTCAGAAAGTAAGAACTGAAGAAATGTGGGATAAAAGTAAGCAGACAATTCATTAATTCTCGCAAAACTCTAAATATAATAAAAATGCATAGAAATATGGATGTTAAGGCAAAAGCATAATTTTGTAAATGAACTAAGTGCATAAACGATTATTCGTTACAGACTTTCTGATAACTGGCATGCTTTTCAGCTTTCCTATGCCATCGAATCGGCACCTCCCAATGAAATTGTTGTTTTCGGAATCAATTACATCCATAAAAAGAGTCTCCATATCTGAAAAACCATAAGTTGAAGGTGCATGGCGTTAATGACAGAAAAGTAAAGATAAAATCTCGTAGAAAATTTTTAAAACCCCTATAGTAAATTGACTGGTTTATTAAATTGGGGTTGTTAACTTCATTCAAATTTTAAATATTGGTAAGAAAAGCACAGTAAAATAAGAGAAATACATAGAACAGGAATAAAGGCCTAAAAAATATTACAGTTTCGAAACGAAGTCAAGAGGGAATTATGTGTCTCACCATTAAGGTATGCAATAAGATGAGAAATAGGCACATGGACTGGATAATAGGCTTTAGTGCGCACAGGAATATTTATGGAAGAGCGGTTGGAGAGTCGAGGTGTAAAAATAGCTCCATACAAGCCTACTCCAAGAGTGGATGAGGCAGCCACTACGTTCTCACCCCACCAGACGACGCGTACCTGCACAGATTTTGGCTCTGTCTGCCGAAATTTTAGCGAACTTCGCTGAGTTGGCCGTTCCGATACATCCGTTTCACGACTTCGAACACCTATTGAGCCGTTGTGAGCGGTCCAGCGAAAAAAAGTAATGCAGAGTACTAGATGACGGCTAACAGGGCCCTCGTACAATCCAGGGGGAAGACTTGTATGGACTCGAACAAGGGATGAGGTCAAATCTATCGATTTTTTTGAGAATTTACCCAAATTTATTGCTTTACTACCACTCATATGAGAAGAAGACAACTTCATTTTGAATATAATTATGTTATTCGCGGCCTAAAAGGTGAAGTGCAGCAGTTAAGTAGGATATAATGAATAAAATTATGAAGGATAGATACTTTGCATATTTATTTGTATAATTTTAAGCCTAGCTAATTGGATGAAATCAAATCGCTTAAGATAAAAACGCTCAAAGGTGCTAAAGTTCGTATGAGGCTAGCAAGAAGAAAATAATTTTGGTATAAATATATAAAAGAAAGCAAATTAAGGAAAAGACCAGGGCCAAACAGATGCTGTATTTCACAACCAAGGAA